CTTCTAATTACCAACAAATATAAAACCGTTTATTTCAAAGGTAAGAGTAGGGACATCTTCAACTGACTTAGCTACTGCCTGATTAATCATATTTCGGCTAAAAGCAACTTTATAAACGTTCCCATCTGGGTAACATTAACACATTTGAGTGGCCAGGCCACACACTTCAGTGCCTTTGTGTAATACTGGAAAAGCATAATTTATGGAAAAGTTCATGTTTACAAGTAACGCATCATGACAGGACAGTTCAAGACCTGATTCAGCAAAGATACCTGGGCCAAACACAAAGCATGGAAATCAGTGCAATGCTGATCGCTGAACTACATGAAACTTACGAAACACAGGGACACATACTTCAGGAGATGCTTTCTAGGATCATGATTTTAAACATCCAAAGAGAACTTGAGCACAAACTAAAAATCTAATTTTTCCTTTTCTCATCTCTGTTCGCTGCCCCCAGCAAAAAACAGCAGGCCAGGGTCAAGGAATATAAAACAAAGTGAAGAATTTGTCCTACCTTTTTTAGTTACAGAAAAAATATTTCCTTGCTTGCTTAAAATTGAAGTAATGGAAAGCAACAAAGAGAAAAAAGGCTAGCAGAGAGGCAGCCATACCACACACTCCTGTTTAGTAGGCATCATACTGGTGCAAAGTTAATATAGAAAAACTCACCTTTTGGAGTCACTGCGTGGATTGCAACACTCATGCAATGAGAAAAATGCCATGGGTTGATCCTCTGTATCACATACATGCTCATATCCTCAGGCCAAGCTTAAGGAGCTTTTATGGCTATTGGTAGCTGGTCTTCCATCTGAACTCTTGACACGATGTGGCTCTGGGGCCATTCCCCTTCTCAAAATAGTGGGAAGCCATCATGGCCTTCCCAGAAAGCGCCCATTTCATGAAACTCCTCAGGCCTTAAGCACAGCTTTGAGCCCTTGTTTCTCCACAGGCAGCCCCTTGTGATCTGCCTCTTTGGGGAGCACGGCACCCTGTCACACCTGCCCTGGATAACAGCCATCAGCAACTGCACCTTTACACCACCTACATCCAATTAGAAGTTGGGAGGTTTTTTTGCCTCTTCTGCTGTTTTTTTGAGATTAGGCCTTTTGGCTGGTTGATCTCCAGGAGGGGCACATGTTCCTCCTGAGCGTTCACCACACAAACAAAATCTCTTTTATCAAGCACCTCCTCCAGGATTAGGCTTTGCTTTGCTACCATCTCTAGGGCTCTTCCCCCCCCAGCTCCAAGTTTCTTTAAAATGAGTGATTTTCCCCATGTCCTCCAAGGATGATTAAGGGAGGGCTCACAAAATGGCACCCTGGGGGGTATTTCAGCAGAAGGGGCCCTGGGGCCTGTGAGGGGAGAGGCCTGTCCCAGCCACCGCACCACAGGGCACAGGCCAGCAGTATCTTCACAGAAGCAGGTTTAAGAAAGGGCAAAATACCACTTGTCAGCGAGGAGTTAAAAGTGAGAGAAAGGCATCAGGAGGCAGTTTATCTCGACCCAGGAGGGTTTTCATCCCATTGTCTCTCTCTGTCCTGTTGAGGTGGTGAGTGAGGGAGTGGCTGGGTGGGCGCCTGGCACCCGGCCACGGACAACCCATGAGATTCACCTGCAAAAGTGCACTTGTAATCAAATCAAACGTACCAGAAACCCTAAGACAAAAACTGCTAGAGCTTAGGGTCTGCTGGCATGTGGACAAGGAGTAATAGTTCTGCTTCTGCCTCTCAGAGTCACAAAGTCTTTCAAGCACTGGAATTACCCCAGTCCCTACAATCCCCTGAAAATACCTCAGCAGAGGATCTTGCACACCCCACACAAGGGATAACTCGGAATCTTGCTGAGTCATTGCTACAGACCAGGGAACTCATTTTTTCACCCCAAGCTCCCTTTTTTTTTTTTACTCCACTACTCACCAGGTGTAACTGATCAAACTAACAATATCATAAACCTTAAGGGAGAAGATACTAAGGATGGCTTTTAAATATTAAAAAGAGGTGATTCAGCTCTTCTACTTGCAAAAAGACTCGAAGGTTCATGAGAAGAAAGTTATTGATAAGGAATAGCTGTTGATGTTGTGGTATGTTCCCACACAAATGCTTAGCAGACAACACGTAATTGTGTTATAATAATAAGCAGCGAGTATTTAGTGTGTGGTTAATGTGTACCTGAAGAGAGCTGATGTTGTCAGGACAGAAAATAACGACACCAGTAATCAGCCTGTAGAAGCCAGACAGTACACAGCTGTGGCCTTCAAGGCACATGCTGAAAGCTTGAATAAAAGGTTTTCATGTGCTAGCAGATTGGAGAGTTCAAGTTTATGAAGCGGTTTGTTGTAAGGTATGAAAATAAAATTCTGCAGGAGGTATGTCTACAATATATTTATGTTTAATGTAAATCTAGGTCAAGAATAATGAAAGCCAGTACAGTTAAAGATACAAAGTGCCCAGCCCAATCCTGGAACCTATTCTGCAATTAATTATTTTGGTCTCTGGACTAATGACGTTGTGACTCTATCTACAAATGCTGTGACCACATTTCTGCTTCCCGCATAAAGAATAAACCTGTATATACTTTTCAGCTTACAGTGTGCATGACTAATTTATACAGTGTAATGTTTACAGGCAAAAAGTAAAGGTATTTCTTAACTGAGAATTTAAGATCACAGTGTTACCAGTCAAGAAGTTATTTATTAGTTCTGTGCAATTTAACTCTGCTGACAAGCAGGTAGAAATAACTTGTATTTACATTACTGGATAAAAAGGTACTAAAATTCTCAAAATAAACAATCTAATGTGACAAGAAACTGAGTTCTCAAAAAGCCTGTCTGCACAAATTATAAGCATGCTGGAGGCAGCCTCTTTGCAATAAAAAACAGACTGTTTCTGCCTCTTCAGAGCAGTAGTAAAGGCAAATCCAGTTTAAAAAGTTCTTCCTATGACACGACTGACTCATGGATATTGATTCTTCTGAGACTGAACAGTGTAGTACTTACATGAGTCACTTCACATGGCACTGCTGAAAATGTGACAACTACTACATTTTGCTACTCATCAACAGCAAAATAAGGACACCAGTAAAATTCAAAAATTCCATTTTGGGGCAAGGTGATTTATTTTGTACATGCCCTACTGTGCCTGTGATATTCCAAGCAATGTTTTTCTTACAAGCTTTGACAACAACAAATTATCTCTTCCCTTACTGGGACAGATCTAATATTATAACAGCTGATTAGCCTGAAAATGCCCAAACACTTCTGAATAAATAAAAAATATCAGTAATATACAGTAAAGTTATATTTCCCAAACTCATAAATCTGTTTTTCCTCTCTTCAAGGATTAGCATCATATGAACATCTGGTCTGAAACACATGCAGAGCAGAGACTCTGAAGACATACATAATACAGTAAGGATTGCTGAGGTGTCTGGCAAGGTTCGTCTTGACATTCAGCCATTCCTCTACAGGTCTTTAAGGTCACATTTCTCTGGGTATGTGAACTGAAGATCTAAGGCAATACATTAGGTTACCATTAGCAACAGTAATATACTGTTGCTGAAATTTCAGAGAAAAAGAAAATGCAGCCAGGTTTAATATACAGGGAGAACAGGGGAGTTTTACCCAGCAGACTGCTTTAAGGAGTCTACATAAATCCTGGCCAAAGTTCCCTATGATATTTTAGGAAGGATTTGAGTTTGTTTTGAAGTATCTGTCTTTGTTCGTGTGCAGCCAGGAGTTCTTCACTCTACATCTGGACCTTACTTGGAGCTCTTCGCCCACAAAGCTCCACACCTTAAGACAGGTTATCTTTGTTTGCATTTTATAGATAGGAACATAGACAGAAAAAGACTTCACATATGGCTCAGAATGACTACAGATTCACAAATCAGCAGCAGAAATCAGTGAAAAACAGATATTCTCCATTCTTTGCCAATGTGAAAACAGTAATGTTGAATAGTATGTCTACTTGAAATAGGAGATGCAATAATAGAAATACTAAAGATTCCTAAATTAATCAGTATTCGCAGATCGTCACTTCAAAGTTTTAAATACTAAACTGAACTGAAACACCAAATGAAAACTGAAATACTGAACTGAGGAGCAACTATATTAAACTGGCATCTTACTTAAATATGCTGACCTGAGTGATTATAATACAGCACTGCTTTTCACTCCTGCTAGGCCTGGAGCATTAACACAGCTAAGAATATTGGAGATGAATGTTCTTACTCTTTGTGCATTACCAGTAGAATTATTAAAATTTAAATTAATAGCCTCTGAGCAATGTGTGGAAGTCAACAGACATGACTGAGGTCATGATCAGAAAACACTTGTCTCTTAATAATACTTGTGTAATGCTAATTTTTCCCACTGATTAAACTTTAAATTCCAAGGGGAGCAGGAATAAAACCATAGTCACTTCTCACAGGACTTATAACTGGGGATATTTCATTTTGTCAATTTAAAAAACATACCGACATAAAAAAGAACCACCATTTTTGCATCTAAGTTTTATGATAAAACATGGGAGTCCAGCAAAGTTATTTTTGCTGCTCTTGCACTGGGAGTCAAAATTCTAATTACTTGCATTTTAAACAGTATCCAAAGTTGTATGCCCCCTATGTTACCCACTAAAGATAGGGTAACTCTAACCACCAAAGATTTGGGAAGACTGTAGCACAACTGAGAACCGAACTTCACCCGCCCAATTACCAGCACTGCCAGCTGCTCATTTATCCTTTTCATTCACATTAGGAGAAAAAAATTCATTGTTATTAAAACTATCTATATATGAAACAATCTTCAGGTAAAAATTCATTTATATCTGAACTGCTCACCAAAAATTAATTGGTTTTTAAATAATTTTCTAATGTGTGATTTTCTTAAAACCGTGAGGGGGGCAGAGAAAAAAACCAGAATGGAATCAGATCTAACAATGGTTTTATAGAAGCTGTGAACCAACTTTCAGACACCAAGACAAAAGAACACTAGCAACTACTTCTATTTAAATATTGTTTTAATTTTCACTTCACAGCTGTAGTCACTAAATTCAACATTTTTGCACTGCATAACAAACTGATATTATAGGAAGCAAAATACTCTAATTCGACACTTTGAGTTAGAGACTCATAATTAGATGAAGTATTACCAAGATTCTTCTGTGCTTTAAGATATACACCATCATTTGGCTTCATTATTCCTGATGTTTTCATTTGGTTTATGGTATATGGGAGGATCAAGATATTAAAGCAGCCTTTTTAGTAACCAACTTTGAACAGCCTCCATCTCAACCCTTGTAACATTCTTCCACCAATTCCCAAAGGACGCCTTATAGCACTGAAGCAATCATTTCAGGTCATAAAAAGATAAAGAACTTTAAATAACTTTTCATTTTTTCCAGTGAGAAAATGATTATTTATGCTCTTGAAATGAAAAGGACTTTGTACAAAAGGTCTGGAAAGATCTGTTTTTAATTATATATTTCAAAACTGTGTTATATAAAACAATTCTACTGCTTATACTCAGTAAATATATTAAAAACTTAAGAGACAAGAAAACAAATAAGCAGACTACTCTATAACTAACACGGCTGTTTTCTGGAAAAGCGTGTCATGAACAATTTGTCCCTTGTGACTGAAAACAAAAAGGGAGAAGAAAAGGGGCAAAGAAAATGAGTTTAAGCAAGAAATTGTAACACCCCTTTTGATCTTGCATGCAAGCTGAAAATGAGAAAAAGTTTCGATCATTCAGTCTACAGCCTTATTTAAAGATCAAAACAAGCCTGAGAAGCTTAAAGCCTTACTTCATTAAAAGAAAAGAAGCTATGCACAATCAAAGAGTTAATTGAATGGTAAGTGGGACGTTCTTTCTTGCAGCTTTGCTTAAATGATAGAAACATTTATACACTGTCCTATACCCCACAGAAGACAATCAAGGTGCACTTTACAAAAGTTTTTTCCACACAGTCTGCCATTTCTTTTCAAATCTTCCATTACCTACCTGCTACCTTAAGATGTCCAGGGTGAGTTTTAATAATTTGCTAAATAAATTACATAGGAATTAAAATTTTCCAGTCATTTAGAGAAAAAAAGTGCAATATGATATACGGTGACAAGATCCTAAGAACAAAATTTGAAAACAAAGTGGCTCAAGGTATTTATTAAGGAAAGCTTTCTTTTTTACCTACAAAATTAAAAATACCAGTGCTGAAGTTCTGTTGCAATACAAGAGTCTGTTTGAACGTGTAAAGCTTTTGCTGAGACCACATAAATTCTAATCTTTAACATATGTTTTCTCAGCAAGTGGATTCATTTTCCCCTTCCTTTGGAGATGCCACAGAGCTAACAGAAACATCCAAAATTTTGCTTAATGAGGAGGGAATTTCATACGTCTCCTTAAATTCAGCACTTATTTACTGAAGGAGAACATTCAAATCTCCCAGAAGGACACAAGAAACTCAATTTTTTGAAGTGTCATTCACTCTTTTGAATACACTAATTTGAATACTTGTAAGTCATATGTTACTATGATTCACTGTATATTTGGCTAATCATTTAACAGTTCCTAACAAAAAATTAAACATTTGAAAATGCTTGAGGGCACAGTAGATTAGCAATCAGAAGAGTATGCAATGGCAAACTGTTTGATTTAAAATTTCTGTCGTCCACATTCTAACCATTTAAAGTATCTTAACGCATTATGTAGTACCCTGCTTTCAATTAAGTACCTTGCTTCGCAACCCAATTCACTATAAGATCAGAGCTAATTTTGATCTTCAATTACATATGAGAGATCCAAAATCAGATTGGCTGTCTCCAAAGCTACTTGTAGGCCACTACACTTTGCAGCAAAACAGTCTAATGTCAGAAAGTCAGCAACTTTTACTGAGGGCTCTTTAGGGCAGCCCTGTATAACAGGGGAGCCAAACTGGCCCTGCAAAAGCCTCCAGCTGAGATTCTCAGCGTTACCATTAATCCCACAGCCACATTTTGAAACTAGATCTGACCAATTAGAGACAGAGGGAAAACCTGATGGAACAAACCAACAGTGTCCATAAACCAAGTCTGTAAGAATTTCTCCATCATCATGATTCAGGGAGCAAGCTACAGACTCCAGAGAACGGCAAAAACCATCAGCAACCAATTGGTATTGTGTCCGAGAACAATCTATATCTTTAAAATTGCTGGTCGACAGACTACAACTCTAAAAAAACAAACACAGGAAACAGAAAATTAGAGCAGTATTTTACAGAAATAATTTTAAATCAAACCTACATCATACTATTGCCTTTTTTTTTAAACAGATGGTTCAGTCTTATCTAAAAAAATTGTTCGTGATGATTGTTCCACAATAGAAAAAATTTCTAGACAAGTCAAAGCTGAGCTCTGCATGATTATCTTTCAGTATAAAGATTCTACATATTTTTTATTTTAACATTTAAAAAATAAGCACTCACATAATAAATACCAAAAGACTTAACGAGTAAAAATACAGTATTAACAAGTCTGAAAGATGTAATTAGCACCGAGTGCTTCAAATAGACCTGTTTTATATTAGTCATTAGGCAGCAAAAATGCAACAATAATCTATAAAAGACAAGTGTTTTAACATAAATTCTTGTTTCCTAAGTATATCAAGCAGCTTTAAAAAACCCTTGTCTTAAATACCTTGTGTCTTACGTACGATGCCAAGTGAGTTTCTGTACAGCCACCTCCTAACAATGCCAAAGGTTCCTTGATTGTTAACTGTAGCACATGTTCTGCAGTTTCACAGGCACGCTGAAAACCGTATTAATTTCTCATTAGACATACAACGATTAATAGAATCTTCCCCCATTGAAAAAACTACTAGAATAAAATTTTCAATAGTTTCTAGTACAGACTTCATAAACTTGAATTATGTGTGGATATAAAGCTGCTGAGTGATTTCCAAAACCTCACTCACTCAATAAGAAATTGCCTTTATTTGTCCACACTTGGTATGGAAAAGCAGAACTAAAAAGTGCTATATTTTATTCCTTCTTTTTGCAAAACAGGGTTATATATAAAAAGCCCATCAGTATCAATGACATTTCGAGATCAACTATTCAATGCAAAGCTATGCTTGACTACCATTGCAGGTACTGCTGCTGGCCTTTTGCTGGGCAATTTTTTCTCTATGCTCTCATAGACCAAGTAATGTGACTGAAAACATTTATCCAGGACAAGAACAAGTGAAAAATGTTTCTGTCCCTAAACAACTTCCCATATTAAAACAGAAGCACAAAATGAACATAAGCACTTTAAGAATTTTGAAATTCTAGAAATAAGGGCATTTCTGAATTGCTTTCTTGAAATTGTATACCTAAACCCAAACTAAGCTCCATTTATGTACTGAAAAAATCACTTTTCTAAACTCACTGTATCTGTTTCTCATAACTTTTTAATTTTTTTTTCATTACAAACATAACTTTTCAAGGAAGATTTCAAGAAAATTTGCCTACCTTCAATTCATCCCATGCTGTTTCATTTCTGTTACAGAGTATCAAGCTGCAGACAACTGTGTCATTAGGAATTAGATGCACAAAATGTTTTGAAGCAAAACTCTCAATGCGCACATCTTTCAAACTGCCGTAACAACTGGGAGACAACAAATGTATGGAAGCTATAGGCTTTGAACCTGTACAATTAAGAAAAGCAGAGAACAGTATGTATTACTGTCATCAGAACAGCTATCTGTTGCATTTCATAAAGCAGGAACTTTTTTCCTCTTGGCTTTTTAAATTATATATATTCTTCAATACCTAACATTTCAATCTACACAGGAAATCACAAACAGAAACCAGTATGTTTTCAAAGTACAGGACTTAGTGATAGTTTAAGATTTAAAAAAAACGACTGTTTTATTCTCACTAGATAAGAGTTTGAAAATAATCTGCATTTGCAGTAACTATAATTGGATATTCCTCATGCAGCAATTGGTAATCACTTGTGCTGTATACCTCCACAAGTATACACAATCATTAGAGCCTGCAAAAGACCAATCTCACTTTTAAAATGGTTTTCAGACTGGAAAAGATCAACTCTTGCTCAGCTGCTAAGATAGGATACAAACAGAAATCCTTACTTTGCAGTGACCAACCTAGACTGGCTTTCATTACAAGATGAAAACCAGTACAGAAAACCAGCTTGTTACCTGTCATCCGACTCAGAGGTTCCATCAGAGAGAGCCCAGCTCTGTCTACAGCGATGACATGGTTCTCTTTCAGATACTGCTTCAAGGATGGATGGATAACTTTCTGGCACACGACAAGGCCAATCTCATCATTAACCAGCTGCTTTCCTACATTAAGCAACTGATTCAGCTCTGACATTTCTAGAGAAATTCCATGATGGACTGTTATAGTTCCTTCTTCAGGGCTGAAGAGGTCTCCTGACATGGACACACAGAAAAGTGCTATCTTGATCATGTTCGAACAACTTCTTTTGACAGTAAGTGGCTTTGCCGATTGAATTTCTGGTGTTTCTATGAGTAGTCCAGGTAGAACTGTAGAATCCACAACTCTTTTACCTTTCACAGGTACTATTATACACTTTCCTAAAACAGCATTAGTCTCAACGTGAGATGGAACAGTAAACATAAAAGCCTTTAAAATCAGCGTGGCGAGATGCTCAACTTCTTGTTTGTCAAGCATGCAAGCAGGTTTGCTTGTTAATACACTACGTACCAAACAAAGAAGAGTCTCAAGACTGCTAAAATCCACAGATACCCGGCAACCACAGGCCTCAGATTTGAGGTAGTCCATACATAAACTCAAAAGATGCTTGCTTATGTTAATGACAGTGCAAGATGCAATGTTCAGGCTTCTAAAGTTTTCAATCAAACTACAGCAAAGAATGGCAGTAAACAAGCCGCAATCACTGAAGCGCGACACGTGGTTCTGTACAGGGGCCGTCAAAACCCTTAATACAGGATGACTGACAGAAAGGCGACTGAATATGGCTGAAGATTGTGAAGTTGTACAAACATAGCCTCCCACACCATTGTGGAGCTGTTTGAGTCTACCAGCAGGACCATAGCAAGATTTCAATATTCCACTTAGCAGAGACAGCGACTGCCTAACTGTATCTTTAGTTAAAGGTTCGCTAATAAATAACGGAGGCTTTTTGGCTTCAAGACGAGACATTTTCAAAGAAAGATTTTAATTCTGGACAACAAAACAGATTTCATTTTACTTAGATCAGTAATTCATAGCACTTTAAAAATTTAAAGTAGTACATTTTAATTCTTTAAAGCTAAGGATTATTTTAAATGTGGAACAGTAGGTACAGTATGATAATGACATTCCTGTGACTGACTGTGATCTACCTCTTAAATCAAGGCTTAAATCCTACCGTGAAAACGATATATAATGACAGCAGTAAACTATTTCATTCACGACGATCTTCCTTTTTAGCTTCTGAATGTGATCGAGCAGATTTTTTTGCAACAAAGTTAACGAGCATGCTTCCAAAATGGACAGCTATGACTGACAGTCCTGCCAGAAGCAGAAAGTTCTTTCTACTCCAGCTAGTTTTCCTCATCTCTTCTTCCAGCAACACTCACAGAAGAAAAGCTCCAAAGATAATTATACCTACAATAAAAATCAGAAAGGTATTAGGATAATCTTATGACAATATTGCATAGCTTGAACTGCTATTTTATTTTTCACAAAAAAAACCTCGCTTAAGAACAAATACCAAACTATAAAGGTTTCTTAATTGAGAAAAGCTATTAATATCATATATAATACAAGCATATAATGTACAAATCATGCATGTTTGTTAACAACCTCAATTCTGACCACCAGTTTATATGCTGTTTTAGCCTTAAGTCTATAAGTAACAGGCCACTATAAACTGCACTTAATTGTAGGAATATGTCAAAACTGTAGCGACATTAAAGACTTTTTCACTCAAGAGCAAAAGAACTGAACTATCCAGCACTGCTTCCCTGGCAACCACTTCAGAAACAAAAGCTTTTATCGTTCAAATAACTTTTAAGAAATCTCTCCTTTTGAAAGAAATGTTTCTTACTTCAAGATGCCTAGCATTTCTTTCAGTTCTTAAACACTTCAAAAATTAAATGGGTATTTATTCACATTTCTATGCAAATGCACAGTATTTAGGCTTCTCTCATATTTGAGTTCCTTCTCTCTTGTAATCACCATCCCTACTAACAACACATACTGTTACTACATAAAGTCACCATTACTTCTGGGCAGTTTTGAACCTGAAAGGACACTTCTGCAGACCCAGTCACAAAAGCTTGAATATTGCCTTGTTTTTAAATATCTGTAAGACCAATAATACCATCACTTAACTGATCCTATCAATTGGGATTTAGCAGTAGCTTGAGATGTATGATGCATTTTTTGGGTCTGTGTAACTACCAGATTAAGTCATTTGCAAAAAAATAATAAAATTCTGGAAGACTAAAGTTAGAGCGGCAAGACTACATCTGTTAGAAAATTCCCATTTAATTGACTCATCTCCTGCCTCAAAGATATAGATACAACTAAGTAGGTAACTTACCCACAATACATAGCACTAACGCTATTTTTCTTTACTTTTGTGATCCCCTTGCATCACGTATGCCACAATCCCAGGTTCTGGAACAATGTCCTCTGTCTTCACTTGGAAAATAGGACTGGACTTGACGTAAAACCACCCCCAGTGCACCAGCCCAAGGCTAGTTCCCATAACAATCAGAACTTTGTAGTCCTTCCAGATGGTTTTAAGACCCATTGCAAACTGGCATCTACCTAGGTAAAGATAATTTATTATTTTAAATATATTCTAGAAATTCTTTTTTTTACTCTATAATAACAGCACAGAACAGATAAACCTGAAAGTTAATATCTTTAATTACAGTGCAGCTGATGATTAAAACACAAAATGACACAAGAAAGTCTTACTTTGTGAACTTCAAAAAAAAAAGCTATAAAAATAACCTCAATTCAGACATCTTGAAATGTTAATTGCTGCATTTGCTTCAAGCTTTGGCATGCTAAATCTTAAAGCTTTGTTACTTTGTTATGTTTATCTAATTACAAATGTTACTGCTTCAGATGGTAAATATTTGAAGTGTAAAACAAAGAAGTTTCAAAATACCCCATTTTTTTTCCCCCTGTAGTTAGTAAAATTACATGACTAACAGAGCTCCTGAAAGAATATGAAACTTTTAACTTGCAAGTCAAGGAAGCTGCAATGCTTCTGACTTCACTTTAAGCTGCCCAGAGTAGCAGCTATACCTACCTTAGCCCTTTTTGCCCTCGATCTTCAGAAACTACAAACGTAATAAATACATCCTCGTCTAAAAAGAATGCATAAGCCTCTACTTCCCATGGGATTTCATCAAGAATTACTAAATACAGGAAGAAAAAAATATATATGTATACTCAGGTTTTACATCAAAACTACTTCTTGGTTTAAACAGCTACAAAGGTACAACTCATAGACTAAACGTTCCTACACCTGCCCGACTTCATCCACCTGACAGAATCACGTAATTGTCAGAGTTGGAAGGGACCTCTAGAGATCATCTAGTCCAACTCCCCTGCTAAAGCAGGGTCGCCCAGAGCACATTAACTCAGGACTGCATCCAGGCGGGGCTTGAAAATCTCCAGAGAAGGGGACTCCACGACCCCCCTGGGCAGCCTGTTCCAGAAGTAAACTAAAAATAACAAAGTCCAACTAAAACCCCTCCCATCACGCTGTGGGGATTCCACAGCTTCACACCCCCTGGCACACAAGGCAAAGCGGACTCGAAAAATCACCAGGCCGGCCGGTACGAGCGAGGCGGCTGCACGCCGGCCATAACTCGCTGAGGGCCGGCTAGAGGGAATCCTCTGCCCTCGGTCACGCATGTCGCTAGGCGACCACCCCTCTCTGTCCCCGCGTCCTAGCGACCTTGCGGCGCGGGCGCCTGAGGAGGGAAGCGGCTTCCCTCAGGCGGCTGAGGAGCGGGGTGCGGGAGGGGGACGGCGCACCCCAGGCCTCTCCCCTTTCCTCATGCAGCAAGAGGCTGCGGGGACACCCCCAGCAGCCCTCCCGGCTCTCACCTCACCCCGAGGGGGAGCCTCCCCAGCAGGGGGGGGTACCCGGCCGCCCTCCCGCCGACACCTCAGCGCCCTCCCCTCCGCGCCGGAACCCACCCAAGGGAAGCCGGCCGCCTCACGCGGCCCGGAAGTACGGTGCCTTAGCCCCGCCTCCCCGACGGCACGGCACGGCGCTGAGGCGAGCGCGACGCCCTCCCTCCTCTCGCCTGCCATTGGCCAAGCCCTACGTCACGTGGCCCGCCGCGCGCGGCCGCCCCGGCGGCCATTTTGCGTTCGGGCAAGGCAGGGCGGGCGGCGGCTACAGCCAGCGGCCATTTTGGATAGGGGAGAAGAAGCTCGTGCCCGGCAGCCATCTTGCTTGGGGGCAGAGGAGCCGTTAGAACCGTTGGAGGCAGGCGCCGGTACAGGGAGGAGGTACGGCCTGGCTATGGCGGCGGGTCCACGCCGGGACCCTCGGCCAGGAGGCTTTTAGGGGGAGAGGCCGCGCCTTGCTCTTCAGTCTCGCTTTCCTCCCTAGATAAACACATGAGGTGATGTCCTGGGGGAGCTGCTGCCGTGAGGGCAGGGGCCGGCTCCCGTCGCGCCTCCCTCAGGCTCTGCCTCGGCTGGTTCCCTCCTGCGCCGCCCCCTCCCGGCCCGGAGAGGTGCGAGCCTTCGGAGCACCGGCCAGGCTTGAAAATGTGGATATCTCTCTGATTTTTCTTCCTTGCTTAACTCCTGTTGCAGTTACTCAGCTTCACTTCTTCACGCGCCTCTCTGAGCCTTCCTGCAGGCGGACACTGTTACCCTGACCAAAACAAGCTTAAGAAAACTTTGTTGCCTGACCTCTTCTAAAAATTTTTCTTGCCTCTTGTTCTATTCTGCACCTTTTCTTCTCCTCACTCACCCTACCCCTGCACTCTCTGTCAAGAATATCTTGTATTATATTCATGTGTTAATAGGTGGGTTTATTTTTAATTTTGTGCATAGTTGCAGAGTTTACAACTGTAGCCAAAAGACAACTTTTTAATGCCTAAATTCATACAGAAAGGAGTAGAACAATTCTGTTTTTATGAACACTGCCTTCAGCTGTTCCACAAAACTTTCTAAAAAAGAGGGTTCAGAAATGTAAAAAGATAATAGCCAGCACCTGTCTCTAATGAGCACTTTGATGTTCCTCGGATATATCTCTAGTTCTATGCAGTTGTGTGGTGAATGGGTAACATTTTTGAAAGTGAATTGTGGGACTTTAAAGGTGAATGGGCAGTTCATGAATGAAGGAGTGTAGATAGCATTGAGCTAAAACCATGCTAACTTGTTGGGAGTTTCTAAAGGTTAAGTGGAAAAATTTGGAACAGTGCAACTAGAAATCCTGAGACTGCAAAACATGAAGATTCTGCTATGTCTTTACAGAACTAGAAAAACTTTACTAAATCTGTGAATTGCTGAGAATTACACTGCTTATCCCAAGTTTAGGATCCACTCTCATAAACTGACGAGTGCTGGGCATGGGCTGAACAGTGTCTGGTATCTAGGGACTGGAAAGTGTAGGAAAATTCTCTTGTATTGTGATAGTTAATTTTGAACTATAAAGATAGTTAACTTATTCGAGAAAGTTCCTTAATTAGCATTTGTGGTTTTGTTTCTGCCTTTTTCAGGTGTCCACCTCTCCCCACCCAAGGCAAAGGCACCCAAAGATGGGCAGAGTGTGAAGAGTTTGCAGCTGTTGTGTTAGAAGTTGCCGTATCTTCAAGTGGGCATGTGTGGCAGGAGTTTTCAATTCCTCATTCCTGCTGAGCTCCAACTTCCCTCGCCACAGGAAGCTACTACGGTAAGATGCTGTTCATCAGTTGGCAGCAAACACTTTAGCTTGCTCACTGGGAGGCCATGTTTTCTGGCTTCCCTTGAGTGTCTGCCACTCTGCTTGATATCAAATTTAGGAAAGAAAGATATTCTGCTGTATTATTTTTGAAGTGCGTCTCACTCTAGCTACAGGGGACCTGCGTGTTTAATTCTGGATCGTGGTTTTTTGTACAGGCTGTCTATCAAAAAATTAGATGTTGAAATACTACAAATACAATGTCAAGACTTCTTAGAAAATATTTAAAACATTGTTTCTGAGAGGAGTTTTTTTTCTGCCTTATTTTCTTATCGTCACATTTCCTTATGTACAGTTTCCTTTAGAGGTTTGCATTACTTTGCAACATGTACAGTATTCCATGAAACAGAGTCTTTTTACCAAATAGACTGATTGTAACATATCTGTGTTTCTGGGTTTTTTTAAACGCAGGAAATGGCAAAGTAATTTGGAGCTTGTTGGCTTTTTTTAATGTACAATTGATGGGTAATTTGCCTCATTTTCTGATGTCTTAGCATTGGGTATTTTTTTGTCTGTGACAGATCAGTGACACATTAGCTGCGTTCTTTTTGGTTTTCTAAGGATTTGCTTACATTTTTTTTTGTCTGCTATATTTCCTTTGCCTTATGTATATGGTTAATGCAAAGAATGGGGTAGTTGGCAAACTCCAAAAGTCAGATTACTCCCGTGAAGAGCAAATAGAACCAAAGGTAACTTTTTTTGCACATCTTTTTTATTTTTCTTTTCTTTACTTTTTTTTTTTTTTCCAGATTGGATTTGGAGAGGATTTCTGCCCACTAGCAATCCTTTTCACATCAGTAGTAGCAGACTTGTTGCAACAGTGGTATTCTAGATGGCAAATTGTTACAAAAAAGATTGGTGATTCATCCACATGTTGGTTTGTTCTCAAGCAGGATATGAGCATTTGGAAAAAAGAGATGATGCTCTGTCATGTTTTGTTGCAACTCTTCTTCGTATTGTTACTACTGTAAGGATTAATTATAAAACATAAGCAGTCCAAGTATTGTTCTTCAGATCATAGGCTTGCAGCACTATTGTGAATTACATGCAGCAAAAAATTACATACGATCTAGGTAAACTATGTTCCTGGAAGCATGAGGCAAAGTACCTTGTGTTCTGCTGTATCCCAAGGTGCAGGTAATTCTGTGTAAATGTTAGGTTTGTTCAGTATTGTCATTGCTGTTGTAGGAGTTCTTAGTTGATGATGCACTCCACAGCAAATTGTGTTTATAATGACACATGACCTAACTTCAAGTTAATATTCTAGTTGCTTGGAGAAGAGACTATAGCATTTAACACTATCCTACTTTTTGCTGTTCTTGCCTGCTGTTTTTCCTATTTATTTTTTTTTTGTTGGTTGTGAGAAGGAGGTAGGGATCATCAGTGAAGCTTCAGATATTAGCCTTTCATTAAAATTAAAAACCCTATCCTGAAGTGCTGCTGAGACTTTTTTTTTTTAAGTGAAACTGATGAGTCATCTGTGCCCAAGTTTTGTGGTGTTTTGAAAAGGCTGTGATATATCTTATTATTTACTTTTTGTTGTTTTTTATTTTTTTTCCCGATGGAGTGAGTAGTCCTTGGAGCTCTTGAACACCAAGAATACAATCTTGTGCACCTTTACAAGGAACTGAGAAGTGCAGTTGGTTTTCATTTGGTAGCTGCCATTTCCCTTTAGCATCTTTTCTGACCTAGTTCTAGCACTGCTGTTTCAAGAATTTCTGAGTCTTATCTCATACTGAGATTCTTCTTATAGTCATTTGACTATGTTTACTTCTATAAAGTAGCACCTTACTACCTGACTGAATTGAAATATGATGTTCCAACTGGTCCAGAGCGCTGTTCATTATGTTGTGTTTCTCGAAATTGCTATCGGTAAAGTTGACAGACTCCGATAAGACAGAAGAGTTTCTAGGTCACCTCTTTAAATACCTCCAGGAATGGCAATTCAACCACTTCCCTGGGCAGCCTGTTCCAATGTTTGACAACCCTTTCAGTGAAGAAATTTCTCCTAGTATCCAATCTAAACCTCCCCTGGAGCAATTTGAGGCCATTTCCTTGTCCTATTGCCTGTTAATTTGGGAGAAGAGACCGACCCCACCTCTCTACAGCTTCCATTCAGGTAGATGCGGCGCTGAGGGACATGGTTTAGCGGTAACTTGGCAGTGCTGGATTAAGAGTTGGACTTGATGATCTTAAAGGTCTTTTCCAACCAAAACAATTCTATGTTTTGTGCAAGGAAGAATGATAGTTGAGTGGCACAAGGCATGTTATTCCAGCTTTTGTCTGCACGGCTGTTATTTGAAAATTCAATTTCCTCTCTATATATCGTTTTTATTCAGTAGTTACTTGCAGAGTGGGTCTCAATTCAAACTCATTTTAACCTGGTTACAGTAACAACCATTTAACTTCTCACTTTTTACAATCCTTTTACTGTTTCTGTTTTTTACTACTTCAATATTGATATCATATATAGGAAAAAAATCTTTTCAGTAATTGGCAGTTTTCCTTGAGCCAGTATATGGAATTGTGCCCTTGTTACTTTCACGTTTTCTCGTAGTTGCTTTGAAATCTTGGGTCTCGGCATTTGGATATTTGAAATGGAAGCTCTGCATAGAAGTGTTTATTTAGTTCAAAATGATTACTGTTGAATCTTAAGATCAAAAATATCTATGCTACGTAGCTGTAAAGTGGCTCTTTATCTTGTTTTGCACTTTTTGGAAGTTAAATAAGGGTAACAACTGCATTTTGAAATGTGTAAGTGTAGTGCCTGACAGAGACACATGTCACCAGCCTGACTTGTGTCCTGAAATTTTGACAGCTCTCTCCCAGTGCTTTGCAATAACTTGAAGTATGCAGTGAGAAGCGGGTATGTCTTCTGCATTCTTACTATTTTCCTATATCATCTCCAAGAAAATTGACTGGATTTGACTGTCTTCCTAGGAGATTAATCCTGTAGGAAACTTTAGAGTGTAAAAAGCAGCTCTATTCTCATTGTAGTTTCTGTTGCAGTTTGTCTGTTGCAGGCAGCAGCTACTGACACTTTTCTTTCTTGATTTTAAAGCTTGAACTGTATTGTTTGGGTACTCTATCTTCTGCCAGTATATACTAAGACCCTTGTTCACCCTGTTTTCTGTCCAATCCAAATCTCTTCCTTGTCTGTTCCCTCTGTTCCTATCCTGTGTGAAAATTGAATGTGTCTTAATTTTTTTATTCTCGGGGTTTTGTAGATGTTAATTTTGGTACCACAGGGTCCATTCCACGTTGCTTCTAAATCCTAGCATTGTGGAGTAAGCTGGAAAGCCTTTCATGTCTTTAATTTAACCTAATCTTCTACCTTTTGACAAGTGAATGTTTAGCTCCCATTTACGTGGAGGACGAACTTCCCCAGTAGTTTCAATGCGGTAACCATAACAGTTATCAGTTTGGAATAAAACCACCTAGTCAAAAAGGTGACTGGTGGTTTGGTTTGCAAGCCAACTTGAAGCTTGTAGTCATTTGAGTGAGATAGAGTTCTTCTAAGGGGACGGGAGGGAATCTTAGCAACTAATTGAAGGTTTCTTCTTGCACCTAAGAGAGAGTGCGTTTAACTTTCAGCATGAACTAATGTTTCTTGAGTGACTTGAAGTGTCTGAGGCAGGGTCAGGGTTTGTGCAGCTAAATGTACTTCACTCAATATCCCAAATTAAGCAATCTAAATCCTTTTTGGGATAAGCAAGAGAAGAGGATATCCAGAGTTCACTTTACTTGTGTGCAACCACAATAATGCTTGTGTCACATTGCTTTATGCATGTAGTAGTTTAAAGTTTTAAATATGCTTAATGTGTGGATATACATATGCATACTATATGCACCAGAAGCCAGAGTTTCTTATTTAATAAAAACAAAAGTGACTGTGATTTGCTTTTGAACTGGTTTAAACTCTGATACTACTGAATACTGGAACTGCAAGTAGTGAATGGGTATCTCAATTCTGAATTTGCTTACCGCTGCTTGGTCTGAAAGCAAATTTTGAAATTTGCTTAGTGTTGCCGAGCCCCCGTTAAGAGAACATGATGGAAGATATTATTTCTTTAGGGCCATTGGTTTATGCAGCCTGTCGTCTCCCTGGCTAAGTAGAAATCCACAGGGTAGGGAGGGATGAATTGCACATAGAGAGGTTTGAGGACTCTCTTGACTAGAGAAGGTATTATTTATTAAGATTGCTTTTTCTTGAAAACAATACCTTTTAAAATTTTGTGTGTTTTCTTCCCCCTTTTCTTCTTCATTCTTTCTTTAAGCTATGCACAGGGATTTTATGTGAAGTTATTAAATTGAAAGAGAAACGAGGCCGGGGCTGTATATGTAAGGACCAGTGGTTAAGACAATAGCAAAAGAATATTCCAGGTTTAGTTTGCTACTCTGAAAGGCTTCTTGAGGATAGATTATGTGGGTTTGTCTCTGTCTTCATATTGGTCTGAAAAATAGTTATAATTTTGTATTTCATGTGTTGGATGCTAAGTGCCTGAACAGTTAAGAGGTTCACTAAAAGAAACCAATGCAGGTAGCTAAGTAATTCTCCTTTAAATAAGAGTTTTCCTTGGGTTTCTTAAAGCAGCGTATAGGGTTTGAAGAACAGCAGTAATGAAAAAAAAAAAAGAGTAACAGATTTTAAAAATCCTTTTTGGTGCAGAGATCCGAGTTTTTCCCTAGTGCTGATCACTTTTAATTGATGTTTTTATAGGACCAGCTTACACTGACCTATCATGGCATCCAACAAGTTTGTCATTAAGGTAAGTAGAATGTCATAGCTTTAATTTAAAAAGAAAATCTGTAATACTTCCTAGAATGTGTGTACATTGATTTTTATAAGTTAATGATGAAGAGGTGCATCCTTTAGACTTCTGGTCATAGTACCATGTTTTGTATCAGCTTTTCTTTCTCTTTGGAGCAGGAAGATTAAAATCATATAAGTAAAAATGATTAGTTGTGTAGTTAGAATTAGAAACTGCATGAATTCTCAGTAAAAAGTATTTGCTACTTGAAATAAAATTTTAGAGTTGTTTCTTCTCTTACTGTAATCTTGCAATATTATTTGTGCACTTCCCAGATAATCTAAGAGTTCCTGCTTTAAGGCATAACAATGTTCTTAAACTATTTATCACACTTGATTTTTTTTTTTTTATTTGCATCTTTTTTTCCCCCCTCTTTTTCCATTTTCAAGGATTAGTTGTCTTACATCCAGTAAAATGCTATTGCAGTTTATTTTGGAAACGGGCTTTTGGTTATGTATCACATGTTTGAACACTTTTCAAAACATCCTATAATAATCATAGCACTTCATAATTCTTCTACTGTAATTATATCAGCTTACCAATAAAAAATCTATTTGTTCAGTAAAAATTGTGAAACCTTCTCTTTTGGACCATCTATCTTGTTTGTGTGTTCCTGTATGTCTGGGGTAGTTTAGGTAATGCATACAGTTCAAAGTGATTAGCGCAATATATTATTCTCTTGGAAATGTTTTTTCCAGGAATTTTCTTAATAGAAGAGACTTTTTCCTCTGTGGGTAAGCTTGGGTTTTTTGGAGGGCAGCTACAAAAGCCTTCCTGACTGATCAGGCCACGGAAGCTGTTGAAGCTTGGTTTTGTGGGTAACCAACCTGTTCAACAGGCAGACCAAACACTTAATTTTTGTGTTCTGTGTGTTCTTTTCAAAGAAAACTGCTGTCATTTACTGGGACGCTTGCTTCATGGGTTTTGGTTTTTTTCACTGTTTAACATGATTATAAACCTTAACAGCGTCATGTCTATGCTATTCACTGCTTCAAAAGTGAGGTAGGAGTTAGGAGAAATATCTTTGATTTTGAACACTTTTTGCTGATATTCTGAGTCTATATGACCCTGGTGGTGGTAACAATAGGAGCTGAGGCTGAAGGCATTGTTTTTCTCAGCTGAGAACTCTTGATGTCATCAATATTAATGTAAGTGCCCAAGAAAACAATGGTGTGAGTTGAAATATCTTCACCAGATAAAAAGTCTTAAGACGTGTCATTACTGACTTGCATTATTACAGCTTGCTGATTCAGCACAGACACTTTGCTGGTATTCAGCTTGTACCCTGACAATCACTAAGTAGTTTAACGTCACTGACTATCTGAGCAAGTGGTTGGGTTATCATTGAGCATGCGTTTGTTGGTAAGCAATATCACCGATACAACTTTTGAGAGTGCCAACGAGATACAACTTTATTTTTCTTTCTGATAGATAGTATTTGAGAAATGAGGGTAAGTTTTATGCATGTACTGAATGCTGAAAATTAACTTTGCCTTGACTAAACTGTAGCAAATATATAATGTAAATATGTGAAAAGCTGATAAGAATTTACTTTGTGTGGAGATACGTAACACTTGTTAGATTGGGGATTTTGTGTGTGAATTTTTGCTCCTTTACATTCAGTGGATTTGAATTTAATGTGAATATTCTCTTTTTAAAGACTGTTCAACTTTCACATAATTTTTTCAAGGAAGATCCCTGTGCAGAAGATCCTCCATTAAAAAGTGGAAAATATTCCCACTTCTCTATGCAGGGAGAGTATAGGAAATACTATGTTCTTACTTTTAGGTTCCTAGTGTTTGAACTGATAGGGGTATTTTACTGAGTCTGAAAATGTTTTATGCTGCCTCATCTTCTACATTCTCTACTTTTTAGATTTTCTAAGCGTGTGTACATTAATGTTTTCGGTAAGAGACTGAAAAGTACAGCTTATCAGTCTTTCAAGTCTTAGCTGACTGGAATGCAATTAAGAGAAAAACACCCATAATATGTTTAATGGCTTTGCTTCTTAACTACATATATTTTATATGAGAATCTCTGTACCTCCAATGTAATGGTCAATTACTTTCAGTAGAGGGAGTAGTTGGCCTATTTTTGGAAGGCAAGCCTAAGCTTGGTTTTATGGGCAATTAAGAGCGATTGAAATAAAATAATTGATGCCATAAAATAGCTTTAAACCTTAATGCAAAAAGTGCAGTTAAGTCTTAAACACACTTTCTTCACTTGCCAAGCAGCCGGATGCCGTAGTGTTGTGATGTGCAATAGATAGTTTATACAAGTTAAATTTGATAAGCAATTTTCAATTTTAGGAAATATTGATACTTCATAAAGTGTTGCATGGTAAAATAGCCCCAGTTCTGGAAAAAAGACATATGAATTTAATTAAACTTTTTGTGTGTGTTGCTAAAATATTTTACTGCTGTTCTGACAAATAAATCTTAACTTTAATTGGTGAGGCTTAAAGCAAAATCTTGAATGCTATATGGATTTGAAAAATAATATCACTAGGGCCTTGTTTAAAACTTTGGACAAAGTAGAAAGAATTTATCTTCCAGAATTGTGTAAATTGACTTTATTCATGCCAAACTGCAGAACTAAATATAGTAATTTTTATGGCTGTAATAGAAAAAAATTCATTTACTGTTTTCTCCAACTCATTCATTTGCCAGACACTGAAGACTTTAAATTGTTACTACATTTCAATAGCTCAACTCAAAGGGAAACTTTTTTTACTTTCTTATTTCATACTTTGACAAATTAAGAGCTCTGTTCTGTCTCAGATTTGCAAGCCGTTGCTAGCACATATCTTAGATTAAGATAATTATATTTTCACTGTTCTTTCTGGTCATCCAGCACACTCTGCAATCGATCTTTCAGCAATGTTCCATGGTATCAATTGAAATTATTGCATGCTGGAGGTGTATATGAAACTTTTTGATACTTCCTACCTCAAACTTACTGCTTGCTTGAAATTGCGAGTTCCTTTGAAGCAGTGACATAGTTCTCTGTTTTATAGTGGGAACAAAGATGGAAGTACTGGAAATAATTGGGCAGAAAAATTAGGTCAGTTTTCCCCTTCATTTTGCTTGTGTATGTATCCTTTACTTTTTTTATGTTGATGTATCTTAATGTAATCGTTAAGACACCAATTGGTAATCAAAGGCATCTTAACATCTCTCTTTGCATATCTTAGAAGTGCTCCGTGAGAGTAAGGGTGCATAGAAATAATGTTGCTTATAGGCCCCAACAGTAGGTAGATGGAAATGGAAGGATATCTTCCTGTCAGACAATATGTTAGTGTGTACTTACAGCGCTGTACATGTCATTTTAGGGTCTGCTCACGGACTTGTGGAAGGCATTACTGTCTTTGGTCTGGAATAAGAAAATGAGCCACTAATTTTGAAGGGGCCTTTTCTGATATTCTCATGCATGTTTAAATATGTTAATGGATTTCTAGTGCTAAGGCGAAGATTTCTGTATCAGATACATCTGTTTGGCTGATTCTTAGGTGACATCTAAGTGGGCAAGACAGATTAAACTTCACATTTCTGTGAAGTGTGTCTGTTGAATTAGTTTAAGAGATACCTTCTCTAAGTATTTTGCTCTGTGAGGAAGTGGTGTGTTTGCTGCTGCTTGCAAATTGTTTGGAGAGGAAAAAAAAAACCAAGGGAGATGAGTATGTTTTCTTATCTAATTTTTAAATTTTTCTCTGATTCTGTGTAATGAGTAATGGAGGATAGTAAATGCATTTTACTGCGATACTAAGATCATAGATGCATGAATGCAGTGCTGTCAAGCAGAGTGTTAGAACAAGGAACAATTTGTGTCTAAAGTGATTTTTTTTTTTTTTATGTTATGACTAGTCAGGGTCACTAGACTGATACTACAGGTGCTTTTTTTTTTTTTTTTTTACCATACATAGTTTTGAACTATTTAGCATACTGATTTCTAGTTTGAGAGCTAGGTTTTTTTGGAGTGTTTAGTTAAAGTAACTAATAGATATGATATTCTTATGTCTGTTTCTTTTTTCCTGTTGCAGAACTAAGATGTTTATGTGTGAAATTCCTGTAGTTGGAGTATTTACAAATGTTTCAATAGAAATACACTAATTTTTTTTACAATCGGATAGAATTTGTAGAAGTTCTCCAAACTGATTAAAGGCTGTTGAATTTTTTTTTATGTGTCCTGCATGTTCTTATATTTGCTTTTTGGGTCTTTAAAAATTAAGAAATAGCAATATTAACCATTTAATGATGGTTTTCTAGGGATGGTGTTCTCCTAAAGCAACATTGCTTGCAACAACTATAAATACAGGTGGTTAGATTTTTTGTTATCAAGTAGCATCATACACTTCACTTAGCTGTGATGTTTGTTGAATGGATAAAATACAATAGTTGTCTAAAAGGGCTTAAATGTCTCAAGAAAATAACAAGGGACCTGGGGGGAAGATTTGATTTAAAATAGGAAGTAGAAAGCAGTAATAATGGATGGAAGGACATCTATTTAGTTCTCTTTCTTAACTCTGCATTTAATTCCCAATTTCATGGGACCAGATATGGAATGACTAAAGTGATGAGTAAATAAGTTCCAGAAGAAAGGAAAGAGGAAATTGGGAGGTAGAGGGGGGAGGAAAATTAAGTGTACGGTCTAGTTCTAACCTCCTGGAGTCAATGGAAGTTTCCTCACTGACCTCAGAGGATTAATTTTCAAGCCTAGGGAAATGATGAGTGGATGAAGAGTTGAGAGATTAAAGTGTTAGCAGAAGGAGAAAGGAATAGGAAGCCAGAGGGATAAACATCAATAGTGGAAACACTGCTTTCCCGGCAATCACTTCAAATAAGGAATAAAAGAATGGTTCAACTTGCATTACTTTTTTTTGGTAATTCAAATAAATTAATCTGATTAGTTCTAAAAGTTCCAGTTGTGGCAGAAAATGAGGCTTTTGCGAACTGTGAGCA